CTACTATAATATAATCCTTATTTTCAAATATTATTAAAAAAAATTTTATTTAAATATTTTAAATTTTAAAAAAAGTATATCATAAGCAAATTTATAGTAATTTTCCAGGCAAATTTGTCTGGAATTGCTCTATAGTTTAAGGAATAAATACTTTTGATTAAATCATTACAAAGAATTGAGACAACATTATTAGGTTTTTCTTAATATAGATTAGAAGAGTACTCCATTTTAACATATAGCAATTTTTTTTGAATTTTTTCAAGTAGTAATTATACTGTATTTATATTATTCGAGAAATCTTTCTACCTATTACAAGTTTAATAAAATTGATGGATTTAGCTAGATTTAGCTTTTCAAAAATCTAATTTAACTTTATTTGTTAATAAATTAATTGTCTAAAAGAAACTATCATAGCAATTATCTAAAAACAACTATCATGATTATGATTTTATACAAAAAGCCATAAAACAATTATAATTATAATTACATATAAGGGGGCATCTATAATTTATGTTTAACGGGTGTTGTAAATAAGGGGTTGTGAAGGTTGTAAAGATGGTACCAGATGCATATATGCGTATTATCAGATGCATATATGCATCAATCTAGAATTCATAAATCAGTAAAAATTTAACTGTCGCATGCGATTATATTTTCATAAAATATCGTGTATGTACAAAGTTTCACCTTAATAGTTTTACTTTTTTTATTCGAAGTTTTTTTACAAATTTCACAACTCTAAATTGCTTTTCTAATTAGAAATGCAAATTTTGCACTCAACACCAAAAAAAAAAGACAAGACATTGAGCCGATCATTTTACTATCGCTATCCATGTACAGAGTAAAAGGTTTTTTTAATGTATTTATTATCTAATGTTCTATATTTGGGGTTTGGCTATAAACTTAAATTATTCGATTCCCAACCCAGACTAGATAGTAATGCCGTTAATTTTGAAAAAAAGTTTGGGTCGCAACTCTAGTTGTCCACTGAACACCACAGAAAACAGATTTATTAGGCCGAATATTTAATCTGTCTTTAATACCTCTCTTCCACTTTTGATGATTGTAACTATTTAAATTTGACAGCAGTTCTCTTTCACATCCTTTTCCTATTTAACACATACCTTCTAGTAATTTCCATCTAGATTAAACCAGTACTATAAGCTTGAACAGCATTCACAATAATGGGCAAAAAAGCAAAACAAGTTCTTCCACTTCACAAGGTCATTATAGTGGCTCTGGTGGCATTGGCAAGTCGGCCTTAACTTTACAATATATGTTCATGAGTGCCATGAAAAAAAAAGATGTCTGGGCCTCCATTTCTTGTTATAATAAATACCCTTGATCTGTTAAACGATCTTTCACTACTTTCTGATGTATTAAACAATTTTCGTATATTTTATTAATTGGAATAATAAATACAATTGATTCTTTAAACTATTTTTTTACCAATTAAAATTTACTCAGACAGACTGACTTAGGTGCTTGAGAACACTCAAATAAGACTAGAATTGAATTTGATGAACCGATTATTAGATAATACTAGGAATGGAAGGCAATTGAAGTAGTATGTATATATAATATTTCTATAATAAAATATCTAAACTTATCTTTAAATTATCATAAATTTATCAATTCTAATATTTATTAATAATTGGAAAATACCATCGCTAATTGTAATCCAACGTGCAAGCAGCACCAGAAATGTTTAGTTAATTGGATAAAGCTAAATTGGAAGCTTAACCGTAATGAATCAAATATAACAGCGCGTATAGCGAATTTCTTGTAATAGTGTGTACAGATCTCATAAAAAGCAGAGGTAATAATGAATTTATACAATATATTAAGTTAGAAGGAAAAAAAAAAAGAACATCTTGGTTAGTAAATATAGTGACCAAGCAAAAAAGTAAAAATGTGAATTTACCTTAAAAGATAAAGAAACTATATACAGTATAATCAATTGTTAATATAAAATTACAGACCTATTTTTAATAAAATCTAATATCCATTATAATCTTATTCGTTATACAGATATCATTATGTCTAAGGCAATTTGCACCAATGAAAAAAAAAGAAATTCTGGTTAGTGATGTAGTGACCAGGCGAGAAAGTGAAAATGCGAATTTACCTTAAAAAGATAGAAACTATATATAATCAATTGTTGATATAAAATTATAGACCTATTTTTAATAAAATCTAAAATCTGTTATAACCTTATTTGTTATACATACAAGTATCATTATATCCGTATTTAGCTTACTAAAAGAGCAATTTGTTTCAATGGACACCAAAAAAAGATCCAAGTAGACTTCATAATTGTTTCTTGGTCATGTTTCTAATAAAAACAAATTTGCCATCTCTGATAGCATACTATAATTCTTTTTTTGTTTGTATGAATCTACCATCCTAGGTTAGATTTTAGCGCGTGTATTAGGAACTAAATGTGTGTATTTTTTTACTTGCAAACTCATTAGATATTAGACCGTGATGCTCTAAAAAAAAATAATATAAAAATCGATAATTTCTTTGAACTGTTTATAAATTTTAAAATTTTTTTGTAAATAAAGAAAAAATATCAAGAACCTTATCATTTGCTTTAATTTATATCTTGATCCCGGTGTATTTAAAAATGACACATTAGAAAAATCAATTAGCAAGTTTTGATTAAATAAACTCATCTATCTTGTAAAGGTTCTCACCTTAGAATTTAAGATCATCAATTAATTTTACACTTATGGACCAAATGGGCAAAAGTCGGGAAGCACCAGCTCAAACCAAGCTCAAAGATACAATTACCGAACTAACTAGGGAGTTGAAGCAACTTAGTCTATTAGAACAAGAAGGAATAATCACTAATATTGATAAAGAAAAAAAAGAAAAGATTCAATATGAAATTAGGTTATCAACAAAAGCTTTACATAAATTAGAATATCAAAAACGTCAACAGCAGAAGTATAGATCCCAGAAAAAACAGAAGCTTCTGCGAATAGAAAGGCAGTTTAAAGAGGCAGATCTCAATACGCAGCTCATTAGGCCAACAGTTGGTCACCCAAGTCTAGAAGAACAACAACCAGGTTTATTAAAAGCTATTGTTTAAATTGTTTCTCTGAATGGGCAGGCTAATGAAAGACGGTGTTCAGAGATCGTATAGTCTGTCAAGACCTTAGACCAGCTCCAAGAAGCATTAACAAATATGAACTATAAACTGTTATGCTCTGCAGCATATCTTAGGCTAATTCCAAGATGGAATAATAGTAAAGAAGGAAAGCGACACATTAAAACGGTGCCAGTGAAGCTTCTAAGGTCACAAAATTCAGCAAGAAGAGCCCATGAAGTTACTCGTTTCTATGCTGCTTTGATAAGAAATGTGAAAGAAATGGTATCAGTATTGGGTCCCAAGAGTACTTTAGTAATATCCCAAGATGATAAAGCGTGAATACCTCTTGGTTTAGCCATGGCCAACAAACAAGGTTGTTATAACTTAAAATAAAATAGAATTACTATTTAAAATATAAATAAAAATATAATAATTAACAATTCATATAGCGCCGATTTTTATGAGGCTGGAATACCGAGTAGAACTGCCGGATCATGATTGGGTTGTTGCTGAAAGGCATAAACTAATTCCTTCAGTCTATGCAATATTGGATATACAAGAGGGTAAGTATAGGCAAGCTGAAGCAGTTACATATTCGGGTCCAACATTTATAAGAATTTGTAGCGATAAACATGATAGAAGTACTGCTTATTCTCACAGTAAAGATTTTGATAACTTGATGAATGAGGAGAAATTGCGTAACTACACTACAACAATGAACGAACAATCTAAACCTGTAGTGGTGCTGATAAGTGACAGTGGTCCCGACGAGAATTCTAGATATAGAAAAACAATTCAGATGATGATCGAACATTTTGATAAATATGATCTTGATACTATTATTGTAGCATGCTTTGCACCATACCAGAGTTCATCTAATCCAGTCGAAAGGCGAATAGCGCCTTTAAGTCATGACTTAGCTGATGTTATACTTTCGCATGATACTTTTGGATCACATTTAGATGCACAGCTAAGAACAAATGATGAGGAGTTAGAAAAGCGTAATTTTAAAGCTGCTGCAGATATTTTAATATCAATATGGGAAAGTACAATTATAGATAGCTACCCAGTTCTTGTTAAATATCTAGATCCTTCTGATGAACATTACAGCCCAAGTGAAAAGTCAGTAACTTGGATTGAAAAACATGTAATGACTTGTCGTTATATTACTCAAGTTACAAAGTGTGATGATCCAAGTTGCTGTAAGCCTTTTCATAGTGGGATTAGGCAAATTCTCCTGAATCGGTTTATTCCTCCACCACTTGTAGTTCAGCAAACGCCCTATAGTATTTGCGCAGCAAAGTTAAATGAATCTGACGATATAACCCACTTTAGCTCTTTTCTTTTATCTGTATTAATGGAAGGTAAACTAACTCCTCCAGATATGAATATACGATACCTTCCTTTTGATTGGTATTGCCCAACTGTCAATAAATCGATCAATGAATTTATTTGTTCTTACTGTAATCGGTACTTTGCTTTAAAAAGAACTTTAAAAAGCCATACCAAAAAATGTTCGCGTAATGAATCTAATTTATCTGTAGAGGCTGCTTTAGAATTCCTAGTGGTGTATGTTCACAACTATTGACATAGTAAATTCTTGGTTAGTAACGAAAGTAGTGAGACTATGTGGGTGGAAGAAGAGGCAGTACCAGAAGATGTGTTAGAAACCTATCATCAGCAGGTACAAGTTCAAGAAGAATTGATTGCAAATAAAGTGTTAATAGTTAACTGGGATACTTGGAAAAAATACAAGTGGACAAATAAATAATTTAGGGTTAGAGTATTTTTTTAATGCAATATGTAGATTAAATACCACTATATGTTACCATTGTTGTATTGTCCATTACCAAAAATATATATATATGTATTTTACACCCTCGTACAATATATTATGTTTAAAAAAAAAGTTTTAAATTTTATGTTTTTGCTAAAAACCTCCCATTTCTATAAATTATGACTCCTGGGGTTCTAGGTGCCTCACAAATACCTAAATTCGATCCCTTATTCTCAACATCTTTTAACAACTTGGAAATCAACCTCTCACATATCCGATAGTTAATTTATGCTTCAACTCCCGTATTGTTGTATATTTGTCAGACTTTAAAGAAGTTTTATTTACTATCTGATTTTTTAAATAAAAAGTCATGAAAATGTGTATTAACTTGGTAGTAGACCCAAAGTATATGAATTAACTCAAAGCATGAAAACTAATGGATATATTATGGTATTTAATAAGTTTTTTAAAACTATTTCTTGATTCAGAAGAGTTAGATAATATTTATAATTCAGGATATGGGGGTGAATCAAGCAAATTTTTTATAATAAAATTTTTTCTTAACTTTAAACAAGAATAACTTAACAAAAACTTGAAAAATTTTTTTAAATAATTTTTACAAACTTGTAGAATTAATTTAAAAAAATTTTTATTAAATTTGATTAAGTTTTTGTTAAGTTATTCTTGTTTAAAGTTTTAAAAAAAACATTAAAAATATTTGCTTAATTTCTATTGACTCAACTCCATATATTCACATAGACTTTCACGGTGATAATATCTTGCAATATTAAGGCATTTAAGTCTTACATCTCATATTTGAATTGTCTAAAAGCATAGCAAAGATAATTCATGGGATATTATGCCTTAGGTCTTTTTAGAAATTTTCAAGGCCCAAGTATTATAGTCGACGACGTATAGAGATACCATATCAGAGATATCAGCTGAACAAAGAACTTTTAATAGTTTCATTGAAATGAAGCATGAATTTGCTCCCAGAATTTCTGGCTATTACATTAAAATGGATAGATTCTAAATTGTTTGCCTGGTATATAGATTTTATACTATTGAAGTATAGTAGATTTAACTCATGACATAGTAAAAAATGAGTATATGTTGATATTTGATGAGTTTTGTTCTAAAAGATACTGAAGTAATAAAAAATGTGCAAATTGTAACCGATATAGCACATCACCAGCTTGGTGTCAAACATGTAATCCTCAGAAAGTAATAAGGATGTTGATAATTGTATTAAAGAAACTACAAAGACATAATCAAATGGATTCCTTTTATTAGATTAGATAATATTCAAAAGATGGGTGATGAATTTCTAGCAACCTGGTTAGATGGTGAACGATATATAGGAAATGTATATATCACCATGTAAAGTGATACTTAAAATATTACATGGTTCACAAAATTCATTAGATTTTTTAGATAGAGTAAGTTAAAATTAATTTGTTATTTATACATATTCGCTTTAATACTACATGCATTTATATTTATATTTATAAACTAAAGGTTTCACGCAATCAAAAGGTAACAATCTTAAAGTATATGGATTAACTCAAGACACTGCAACAAATGAGTATATATTAGTTTTTGATTTTACAAGATATAAGAATAATGGAAATTGCAACAGATATAACACATCACTAGCTTGGTGTCAAACATTTGATCCTCAGAAATAAAGATGTCGATAATTGCATTAAAGAATTTCAACTTAAAGCCACAAAACATGAAGATGTGATTGAGTAGATTCCAGATTAGATAATATTCAAAAGATTGGTGATAGATTTTTAGCAAATTGGTTAGATGGAAAATGTTGTTTGGATAAAGATAGAGAGAAAAAGGAAAACATGCAGTCACGTCTGCCACCATCTAAAGTAAAGCTTAAAGCATTGGATAGTTCACAAAGCTTATTAAATATTTTAAAAGAAGTAAGATTATTTTATTATGTGTAGATTATTTAATTAGTAAAACTATATACTTAATTTCTATTATTATATATATTGGGTCAATCTAGTTATCCGAATCGTAATTTTTCAGATGGGTTTAATCACCAGACTTATTTATTTATTGAAAATAAGTAATAAACGATTTAATTGTTGAATATTTCATTCAATAAATCCTTTTAAAAAATCGCAATAATCTCAATTATAAGCCAATCACATGAGAGTTGTTCGAGAGCGCCCTAAATTTTATAATTGTCAACTAATTTAGATCATTAACATTCCTAATCAAGATGATTCTCAATCATTTATAATTTGGGCAAAATTGTAACATTTGTTTATTCAAAGATCTCTCAAAACATCATTATGGGTAAGAATTCGATTTTAATGTTTAAAATTTTTCGCTATAGCTTACTAACATTTTACTAAAAGAGGGACAGAACTCTATATCATTTCAAGCTACATTATTTGATTATTATCACTTTGCCATGTCCTTCATATTATCCTCTCGTGCTCAACGTTCTATCGGTTTGTAGAACATAACTTCAATTTGTATTGCATTTTGGCTTCATGAATTTGAATTATACTTTACAATTTCATTTTAGCATTTATAGTTTTAAATAATATACTATATAAATCCAATGAAGAGACCAAAAAACTGCCCACTATTAAAAAAAATTATAATATAGTATTTATGATAATCTTTAATTGATTATATCTTGACTGGGGCAATAAGATAGAGCTTTAATTTTTTTTTTTTTTTTTTTTTTTTTGTGTTTAAAAGAGCTTTTACATTGATTAATAAAAATTCTTTTTTAAAAAAAAATCACATGCCTAAATATCAAATGAAAATTTAAAAATTTACCTGAAACGAACACGTGTGAAAGATGAAATCAGAAAAGAAAGCGAAAATACTCAAAAACTACCGTTTAAATCGACCTTTAGAAATGATAAACTAAAATTTTGCATTTACATTAGTAAAAATAAAAAATTCAATGTGTCGAATGGCATTTTTCGAATGCCATTCAATGTGCCATTCAACTTATTACATAATTTTGCAGATATGAATATCTGTGATAAGTTAAATAGCATATTGAATAGCTTATTGAATGGTATTTGAATAGTGCCATTCGACATATCGAATCTTTTACCAGTGTTAATAAGAGAAAACTATCGCTACAGTCACTACTAAAAAAGTTCTAATTCTAAACTTATGTCTTTACACATTTAAGGTACTCTCAAGTGCCTAAATTAACACGTCGTGGCTTAATTTTTAATTAAAGAAACTGGCCAAGTAAGTTAATTAATTATTGTGATAAAAAAAAAGGTCGAGACCATCTTTTTCTTTAACTAAAATTTGATATTTGCATTTCGCGATAGCAAATTTACTGTAAGTATTACTTATTATTTGCGCACGATCGCCATGAAGTATTAGATATAGAAAAAGCTATAATATGTATATATTTGTCTAATGCCTTTTTCCCATTAAACTATATAAGTGCTCAGCCCTGACTTGAGTACAGTAAGACCTTTCTAAGTGCACACTTTATAAGTGCACGCTCTAAAATTCTCTAAATGCATGACATAGCTTAGCCCCATCTTATAAAAGCACTATATATTTTGTTCTCTATAAATGCACACACTCTTTAAGTACACATTTTGCTTTTTTTTACTATGATCCCGAGGGGGAGGTCTTACTGTATCATTGTTTATATTTTTGGTCTGTAAATCGTCATATCCAATATAAATAGATTGACTTTACTTCGCCTTTAATATTAAAATTTTTATTTAAATGTTTTACTAATACCTGCATGTTGACTAATCGAGAGATGACTTAAAAACTACAACTACTAAATCTAACTAATAATCATTCAAGACTTCTTGTATCAAAGATTTTACTAATGAAATATCACCTATTACTCCTTTAGTTAAAGGAACTTTAAATGTCTTTGGAGGTTCTAAATCTGTATTAATTAAAGGTAATTCGTTTGATGTCCAAACATAGATTTTGAGACCTTTGACTATAGCTAACTTTTCTGTATTCTAATGTTCAATATTATTTGATATTTATTTATATATGTATATATACATTCATTCACTAAAAATTTGAATATTACAATAGTACATACATTACATTCATACCATTTCATAATTAATGCAGGTCAATTGTCAGCTTGAGAAAGCATTGCATGTAGAATAACTAAAGCTTGCATCTTTATATTCTCTATACCCAAAGATATAACAGGGATTAATGATACAGTTATTCTCCACATATAAACCAAACCGTCATCTGAAGCAGTCACAAAACTTGATGCATCTTTTTTGTTTATTATAAAAATCACAAATATGTTGTGGTTAATGTTAAATGTCTTAATAATACTACAGTTAGATTTTTTCTACTCAGTTGATCTGCAGTGGGTTCTAATATTCAATTATATTTATGATTTTATAAGATAATCAAATAATTAATATATAAGGGTTTTGATTATTAATCACAACTCTTCTCTTTACTTTTCTAACAAGCAATGATCGATTGTGAAAAACGAACGAATTTATAATTAAGGGACTAACGACTAGAGAACCAACTTCTATCAAACTTTGCAAGTTATGAACTCAACGAGCTATCTTTTAATTATTGTTTATTATTAGAGTTGTAAACTTACACTATAACTTACATAATAACACATGAATTTGAAATTTTTGCTAAGTAAACATATAAAAATTACTGAACATTACATCATAAATTACATCTTGAAATATTACAAGTTTTACAACTCTATTTATTATATATATACATTATTCATATTACCACTTTTGGAAGAGCTTTTACTAAAAGGGAAATACAAATAAAAAAAATAATGAAAGTAGAAAAAAAAATAGTGATACTATTACACTCATGGCAGCCAATCAAAATTCAGGAAGCAATAATATAAATTATTCAATTAACCCAATTTTTTAAGCAAAATGATGCTTTAACAAAATTTTCATCAATACTATTCCTAGCGCTAGTAAAGTCAATAGCATTTTTTGAACACTCACATGAAG